CGAGCTGCAGCTCGGGAGGGCGCGGCCTGCCTGGTGCCCGATCTGCGGGCGCTGCCCCGGCGCGGGTTCCTCTTCCCCGGGCGGTTGGAGCCGCTCAAGGCTCGCAGCTGACTCGGGCCTGGGCGGCGGCCCTCACTTCCTCTTCTCGCCCACAGGAGACCCGGCCCTCTCCGGGCTCTCCCCCTTTGCTCTGGGAGCTGAAAAGAGCCCCCGCGGAGGCTTCTCTGCCTTCTCCAGTGCTGGTTCTGCCACCCTGGCATTTGGCTGGCCGGGCCCAGTTGACCCGGCCGGCTGATTCTGCGGCCGCTCTCTGGCCCTGCTGGTTGCGGCTTGGCCTCAGGAAGGGAGGAGAGTCCTGAGCGCGAGAGGGCAGGATCTCGGGCACGGATCCATCCCGGATCTCCAGTTTGTGCAGGGAGTAACCAGGGCCCAGCGTGGTTCTCACGGGGCAACCGGAGGCCTCGGGGGACTTGCAGATGGGTGGGGAGGAGACTGCCCTTGGTCCCCCTTTAAGGGATCCAGGGTGGGGGCCAGCGCCGCATCTCGAGGAGTGGGATTCTCAGGGTAGTGATCTGCTGTGCGAGGAGCCGCTTCCTCCTCCTCCGCTTCATTGGAAGACCCCGAGGATGGGTTGGCCGTGCCCCCTCCTCCTCCTCCTCCAGCTTGAGACTCTCAAGCCGCCCGAGGCTTTGCCGGCCCTCTTCCGCGCCTTTTCCTCTGGTCACTCCGGCCTTTCTGCCCAAGCCACTTGGAGGCCTTGGCGCAGCCGGGATGCAGCCTGTGCCCCCCTGCCAGGCACTGTGTCTTGAGGCTTTTCCTCCTCATTCCCAGGCCCGTCCCGACCCCCGGCTTTGCGCCACGAAAGGCCCAATGGAGCATCTGCCTCCGGGCATCTCGGCGAGGGGCCGCGGCTGTCCCAGCCCAGGAAGGGCCCCTTGGAAGCCCCCTCTCCACAGGCCAAGGGGCTCCTTCCGGAAGCCTCTGGTTCCAGCCTCAGCTGGAAGCGTGGATGCCCTTCTGCGTGCCAGGGCTGCTGGTTGTTCCCAGTGGAATGGCTCAGATTTTCCCGGGGAAGATGGTTTTTATCTTTAATAGAATTATACCAAAAAAAAAAAGATTTTCCCAGGGCGTCTGGAGGAGGCTAAGCTGCTTGGGGAGACCTGGCCCGCCGGGCACCTGAGGAGCCTTTCCCTTCTGACACCGCCGGGCATCACTCAAGGAAGAGCCGCCGACGGTTGCTATAGCAACTCTGCTGCCAAGGGAGGGGAAGACTGTTGCCATGGCAGTGGGTGGAAAGGGTCGGCCGATGGCACGAGCCGCTTGTGGACAGGCATGGCCAGCCAGAGGGGCACCGATCGAACGAAGGCGGGAGGGGGTGCCCAGGTGGGGGGCAAGGAGACCGGGCTCGGACGTGGGGAGGGGGGGCCGCCCAGCCTCTCCAGACAGATGAGATGGGTGGCCAGAGAGCTCTTCTGACACCCCCTCCCACAGACGAGGGCACGGGGTGTGTTGGGTGAGATTTCGGCTGGCTTGCCCCCGTGCCCACGCCAGCTGGCTTGCTTTCTCCAAAGGTCGGTCGGTCGGTCTCCTCTTGCTTCTTCCACCTTGGTTAGCTTCTTCTAGATCAACAAGGAGGGAGGGCTTAAAAAGCGGTGGGGGGCGGGTTTCCTTGTGTGAATCAGGCCAGTTGGGATGCAGATCTTGGGAGCCCAGCTCCATCCAGATGCCGGTCCTCCCTCTCTCGCTGAAGACCTTCCCGTGGAGAAAAAGTCTCTGTCTTCTTCTGGACGCGCGGGATCCAGCTGTGCCCTTACGGCTGTTTCCTTGCACATTAGCCGCCCAGAGTCTTACGGAGTCGGACAGCCTCAGAAGAGGCTTCAGATCAGGAGAGCAGAACTAGCCGAGAGAGCCGGGCTCGTGTGGCCCGTTAAGCCACGTTCGCCGTGGTTCCTCGTTGCTGGGGCCGCACTGGGCTAAGCCAAAACCAAGCTTAGATCGTGGCTTGGTGCGTGGTGCAGAGTTGCCTCTGTCTTGCAAAGTCTTTCCAGGTTCTCAGATGTCCGAGCAGGTAGGAACCCCGGCGGCGCTTGCAGGGGCACCTCTCAGGGTGGGCAGGCCTGCCTCTAGGGTACCAGCTGGGTACGCCTCCCCAAGGCGGTGGGGTGAGTTCTTCAGCAGTCAGGCAGGAAGTGGGCCTGCTGAGGCTTTTAAGCAGCGCGCATGCATTGCTCCTGGAGAGCGACGGGAAGTCAGCGTCGCTAGGGACGCGTCTGAATCATGCCGTCTGGAAAACTGCCCCGGGAAGGGGCTGCTCCTGTCCTGCTAAGCTCCCAGATTTAGGGCCTTGGGTCTGCCGGTGCCCGTCTTGTGGGCCGGAACTTCTCTCGGCTCTTCCCAGCAGACTCTGCCCCGGTTTCCCCGGGACACGTGCCGGCCGGCTGGTCCAGCTGCAGAGGAGAGAGACCCACCACCTCCCCTCTGGGGTTGGAAGGCGGGTGGCTCTGCTGCCCAGCAGCCGCCTCTTCCTGCAGCTGAGGGCTGTTGCAGGGGGAAGCAGAGAGCATCCCCGGGGAGAAGCAAAGCCGGCGTAGCGCGGTACGGAAACAGACAAGCCTCTGGAAGTCTCCAGGGCAACTGGTGGGTTAAATGAATCATGTTTGTGTGCACCGCTCAAGACCGCTCCGCTCTCCTCAGCTACAGGGCATCTACTCCAAGCATGCATTCCTAATAATAATAATAATTGGTTAAATTTGTCATCGTCGGCTCTTGAAGGTCAGTCAGCTGTTTCTCAGACAGACTGGGAGGGTTGTGTCCAGGTTTGCGCACCTTGCCATTAACGCTGGAGGAATCGATGTTCTGGTGCTGCGTGGAAAGAGTTACTGCATTGGTGGCATCAGGGCGGCGCATCTGGTACAGCAGCTGAGCCGTGTCACTAACTTTCTGTGTGCAACGGAGCCCTGATGCCGAAGTCTCTTCCGGCTGCTCGGTGGCAAGCGTTGCCCCCGAGTTCAGGTGAAGAGGCGCCGTGGGCTTGTGCTGCTCCGGCCTGCCTGAAATCTTTAAAGTTGCTCCTCTTGACTCAGTGACTTTTCCTCCGGCAGATTACTTGTGCACCCCAGAGGAGAACATTTACAAGATCGATTTCACCCGGTTCAAGATTCGGGATATGGAATCGGGCACGGTGCTCTTTGAGATCACCAAGCCCCCTGCCTCGGGTGAGTCAGCCGCAGCACTTTGCAGCCAGGCTTGGCGAAAAGGTCCTCTCCGCGCTCCCCCCTCTGCCCTTTCTGCCCCAACCCCCCTTTCTTTGCCAGTTATTCATTACATCCATTTTGGTTCATGTGCCGGACCTGTGTCAGACTGGAGGCAACGTCAGCAATGTCTCCGTTCTTATTCTGTGATGTTCCGAAACTTTCCATTTTTTTAAATGAGAAGGGCCAAAAGAAAGACACGCAGCCAAGGAATTACAGTCGCCGCTCCTGGAAGCCCCTCCGGAGCCGGAGCCGTCTGGCTGAGCCGGCGGTTTCCTTCACTTTGGGGCAGATGAATTATACGGATTTATGAGCAAGTCTTCTCTCTCTGTGCACTTTTTCCCTTTCGCCTGCTCTGAATCCACCTACCCCCAAAACCCTGTTGTCAGCAGAGATCCCCAAATTCTAGCACTCACATGAGCACCACCCCTAATTCTCTACACTTTGCCTGTGACACACACACACACACACACCGACCGCTGCTCTGTTGGCTGTTCTGGGTTCCTTCCAGCTCTCCTATTTGGGAATGGGGTAGTCAAATTTGTAGACAGATTTGGAAAAGGACCTTTACAGTCATTTTTCAGACTCTTCCAGGCTCTGTTACCTGGAAATAAAAGCATATTTTCCCTCTTTACTTTGGTTTGACTTTGATTTGATTTATGGTTCAAACAGGAGAATTGTTTTAGATTTGCCGAGAACATGTTTTGGGAGGGAAACAAGCATTTTTCCCTGCTAATTTTCTTTTTGGAAAATATGATACATGGAGAAGATGGTCTTTCAGTGGATCCAAAGTCCTTAGCTCGCTGGCAGTCCTCCGCCTGGCACTCCCGGGCCCCGTTTGGAAGGGCTGTTCACCCCTCAGCGGCATCGCTCGAGCGCTGCTGGGTTTCAGCTCTGGTGCTGCAGAGAAGCTGGGCCGGCCCCTTCATTCCGAGGGGCCCGGTTTTGCCGATATGGGGACCAGCATTTGGTCAGGCAAGATCAGTCAAGGGGCTCAAATGGTGGGGTGGCTTTGAAAAAAGGCTGCTGGAGGAAGTGGCAGGTTTTGGATCAACCCAACGAAGGTGCGTTCAGGGTGCCCTCTTGTCTCCTTCCAGAACGTGAGCACAGCGAAAAGAAGGAGGTTGACCCCAACGCCGGCCGGTTTGTGCGCTATCAGTTCACGCCAGCATTCCTAAGGTTGCGGCAAGTTGGAGCCACGTGAGTGCTGGGCTGGTTCTGTAAATGTTTTGGTTTGCTGCAGAGAAGCTCAGGAGCCATCCTGGCAGTTGGGGGGCTGGTTCTGTCTTATTCCGCTGCCAGGCTGGGCTTTCCCATCACGGTGCCCTCCAGGAGCACTGGACTACAGTTCCAGTCACTCCCGGCCAGGATCTGTGCGGCCATCGTGCACCGGCCTGTTTTCCTCTGAAAGGGCCACAGGCCAGTGTTGTTTGTGTGGCCGGCCCCCAGGAATAAAACCAGGAGAGCTGCCGAGAGCGTCCCTGAGTGCTGTGGCCTGCTGCCCAGGTTCGATTTGCAGGCAGGGCCCAATTCCAGCTCTGGCTGCATGGCCCGCAGCACCTCTCTGCTGGGGATTGCCCCTGCTCTGACTCTCGGGATGCAGTTTGCTAAATGGGGGCTTGCAGAGTGTGGGAGGTAACCCTGGCTTGGTGGATCTGGAAACCAAGTAGCTGGGAATGTCAGCTTGCCCTTCCTTCCTTCCTTCCTTCCTTCCTTCCTTCCTTCCTTCCTTCCTTCCTTCCTTCCTTCCTTCCTTCCTTCC